TGTTTATGATAGAAATACAAACTGTGATAATAATGTACATGTACATACATGTACATGTACATGTACATGTACATGTATGTACATAAGTGTGTGTTTGTGTATATTGCATATTAGGAGAGAGGAATATAGAAAGAGGGGGAGGGAGAGGGGGAAAATTCTGGAGGAAAAGCTAGAGAGACAGACAGACAGACAGACAGACAGACAGACAGACAGAGACAGAGAGAGAGACAGAGAGAGGATAAGTACATGTACTGTAGCAAAGCAATAAGAGAAAGAGATAATATTTTATTGTTCTAACCTATTCCTCCATGACAGCAGAGCCATTTGCCAAACTTATTCTCCACAATGGCTGCCAGTGGTAGACTATCGAAGCACCTCATGAAACTTTCATAAGTCTCCTCCCCGTATTTACTCTGACACTCTTCGGCGAAATTGATACCCTCAGCATACGAGAACTGAGTCATACAGCGACTCTCGTGATTCCCCCGTAACATGAAAAACCGAGAGGGATAGGCCACTTTGAGTGCCAGGAGAAACAATATACATTCAGAAGAGTAACAACCTCGATCAACGTAATCACCGAGGAACAGGTAAGAGGGAGAATGTGGCTTCTTTATCGAGTTGTGGCCTTGCAGAGGCTTTGGATCAAAGCTGTAGTAGCCATTGATTAGTGTTGGCAATGGTGGACAAGACACTTGTGAAGGAGGACATGATCCTTCTTCTTCTTTATGCGAAGGATCAGTTGGTATGTCTTGACTAGTAGTGGCTGCTCCTTCTCTTCTGATCAAATGCTCTGAATTAGTGTAAGAGAATATGTCAACAAGATCACAGAACTGTCCATGAATGTCACCTATAACCTGCAATAGAAGACATATACATGTGATGGGGGATAAGTTTAATAGGGTATATTCTCTAATAGGGGATCAATATATCAGTATATATTGGTAATAGATTAATACAATATCCAATTAGATGTATCCATCAGCTTAAGTCCCAGTCTAATGTAGAGCTTTCTTTGAAGAAGCTACATTAGCAAGTTACACTCCATTAACAGTACAAGGACTTAGAGTACATGATACATCTACTTATGTAGCGTGAAGATGAGTATAGTAGTCTAAGGTTGTACACAAATGGGCCAGTTCCTGATATAGTGTATAGCATTATACGTTAGAGTGGTTAGCATAATATGCATAGTGCATCCCACACTTGTACCAAGAATGGATAATGTGTCTTGTTTATTTGGTTTAATGCCAAGAACATACACTGTACTCTCTGTATGGCTTGTATCCTTCCTGCCTCTCCCTTCACATTATTCCAGGATCTCTTTATACCCAGTAATGTCACACTATAGACTATAGTATATGATATCTTAATTATAAATGATTTTATTTCATTTTCTCTTTGATGAAGCAAGATATCTTTATCTCTCTCTCTCTATCACTAACCACTATTGGAGCTGAGAGTCTGAGGAGTGTTTCCTCATCTTTAAAAAGTTTACCAGCTTCTTCAATAAGTCCTTGTACACTACTCCTCTCCAATAGCTTGTAATTCTACAAAAATAATTTTAAAAAGTAATATAAAATAATAAATAATATAAAAGCAGTGTTATACAAAGAGTTTTAGGTCATTTATTAGGCAAAGAAGTAGTGACAATGTTCCCAGTACTCGATAGACTCTGATAATGATTAACCATGTGTTGGTAGAATGGGTCTGAGAGTATGGCAATCAGGTCACAGCTGTATTTAGCGACTTACACTCGCTTCTTGAGGCTCCCTGCTCCACTGCCTGTCAGGTGAGAGGCTGGAGAAGTTCTCTGAGAGTGTGTAGATGATCTCCTTGGCTTGTTCTATTGTGACCATCCTGCGTTTGCTTACAAGCAATCTCTGTCGATTGTGCAGGCAGTAGCTGGATCTGTTGATGATATTCCATTATGAAACCGGAAGTGTTCTTCATAAAATTAACTGACCACGCCTACAACAGAGTTTAGCCACGCCCTAATTTCTGCAAGGAAAAATGGCTACTAAAGTCAAGCTTTATTATGATGTTGTCTCTCCCTATACTTGGGTTGCTTTTGAAGTAAGTCATTAAAAGAATTTTAAATACAATAGAACTCTTACTTAAAAATTTCTTTGATAATTTTTGCGGTAAGAAAATGTACTTTTTTACATTTTCCAGGTACTCTGTCGCTATAGGTCCAGATGGAACATGTCCTTAGAACTGAAGCCGTTTTTTCTGGGCGGAATAATGCAGCTCAGTGGTGAGTGGCACAATATTGACAGGAATGATGGGTGGCAGATTTATCAAAATAGTGAAATTGTTTGTTTTTATATTATTGGGGAAATTAGTGTCCACATTAGTCTCGCCAAGGGGCAGGGCGAGACTACGTCCACATGTGATTGAATATGTGAAAAATCGAATTAAAATGTTGCAATTTCTATAATTGGAAAAATATGTTTCTTTACAAAGCTGAAGGTTATGCTAAAGCTAAATGACTGCCATTTCTAATATAAATATTTATAATACTTTATACTAGGTAACAGACCTCCAGGTATGGTGCCAAACAAAGCAGCTTACATGGTGACTGACTTGAAAAGATTAAGAAAATATTACGACGTTCCATTAAATATTCCAAAAGTATGTACATGTACAATTCTAAATACATTTCCTGAGACATTTAAAAGCTATTTTTTCTGCATTAGTGCTTGGTCAAAGCCCCTTTAATTTACTTTTAATTGTCCTTCAAAAAAGGTGTCAATGTATTTTGGAATTGTTTGTTCATTCAGCAATTTTTATCGCCCATTTTTAACACTCTATGTAACATGACTAAACATTTTTTCTACATCCTTTGCCTTAGAATCCTGTTGATACAATGTTAAATAAAGGATCTTTGTCAGCCCAAAGACTGTTAATTGCAGTTAGGGACAGACAACCCGAGAAACTTGAAGAACTGTCGAGACAACTCTGGCTTAGGATCTGGTCTAGGGTAAGTATAATGGAGCAACTTTAAAAATTTGTAGAAAATCCAATTTTGATTGGAATCAGCTCAAACTTTCTACACAACATAAGAACATGTATATGTATCAAAAAATGTAATAAAAATGGAGAATTCTCTCCTTTCCATTTTTGGCGAATTTTGGCTAACATCCCTGTACTATATAGTACAGGGACTTTTGTCAAATTCTGAAACAATATTTAATATTATTTTTGAGCTGTGATCGACCTTCCCTTCCTCTGCAGGATGAAGATATAACAGCAGAAGAGAGTCTTAGGGAAGCTTGTCAAGCCAGTGACATTAGCAGTGACCTTACCAGTGAGCTGTTGAGTTCCATCAAAGATGTATCTATCAAAGATAAGCTTAAAGCAACTACACAAGAAGCTTTTGATCTTGGAGTAAGAAACAATTATTTTGCTTGATTATTTTTATGTTGAATAAACACTGTAAATGCTTGCCTGTCTTTTCTAATTTTAGGCTTTTGGGTCTCCATTCATTGTAGCTTATGTTGATGGGAAGCCCGAGCCATTCTTTGGGACTGATAGATTTGAGATACTAGCACAAACTATTGGTCAGCCATCAGCCTCTAGATCATGCAGTGTTTGACTCTATTGGTACTATTGTATAGGAGAGAATTGGGAAGGACCACTGGTGAATCTAAAGGCAAAGTACTGAACAACTGTCCAAGCCAAGAATAGATTTTTTACTAATAAATTATTTATAAAAGCAATGCCAGGAAATAGGAGTGGTGTCTTTAAAAACAACATTTTAGAACATGGCAACGGCAACAACGCCGATTTTCGTCAAGCTACAGGATCAGTTAACGTGTAGAAAGTGTCACAATCTCTACACTAACCCCAAGACACTCTCTTGCCACCATTCATTCTGTCAGGAGTGTATTGAGGGATTAGCTACCATCCCTACCTTCTCTGTGGCCTGTCCTACCTGTCATCAACACACTGAGCTACCAGACCATGCTGGAGCTGCTGGTTTATCACTTTCAACCAATGTACAAGAATTTAAGAAGATCTACAATGAACTATCATCCGGTGAAGTAAAGTGTGACAACTGCTCTAATGCCCACCCTGCTGTATATTGTCAGGAATGTAATAGGTACCTTTGTAATGAGTGTGTTAGTACACATAATAAATGGTCGCCTTTTTCTGGTCATACAGTAAATAAGTTAAGTGACGTAAAAGCTCCTACATCACCACTCGATGGAGAAGTAGAGTTGCAGATTAGAAATGCATTTTCTGCTGCTGAAATAAGAGATCAAGGAGAGAGAGTGAAAGAGGAAATGATGGGATTCACTCAAACTCTTATGGCTGGTATTCAAGAGGAGTTCACAAGAAAGTTAGAAGAATTGGTGCAGATGAGGCTGCAAAATCATAGAGAAGGTCGTAATACTTCTTATCTAGTCTGGCCACGCGAGACAGCTTCATATCATGATCATGATGATATTCTGTTTATTAAAAATAGCAGCAAAGAATTTACCATAAGTCAACATGTTGGTAATGTTATGTCTCGTGTTGATTTAGCTCAATGTAGAGTGAAAGAAATAGTTACCATTACACATATCCCAGAAGACAGAGAAGTGTCATTTAGGCTATCCATAGAAGTGTCAGACTATGAAAAGTCCCTTTTGATTGTTCCCACTTCCTCTATATTCATTGGATTTAAGTCACAGGCTGCATCCTCTCCAGTTATTAAAGCTAGAGTGATCTCTACTGATAAACCAGGAGTGTACCAGGTTATATGTACTCCTGTTATTAGAGGACGTCATCAAGTTAACGTGAGAGTATCTGATGTTTCACTTCAAGGCACTTCTTTGCTCATCCCTTTCAATCCTTATAGCTACCTGTTTCGTGTAACTCCAGCCCGCACTATATATGATCTTGATCGTCCAAGTGGAGTTGCTGTACACAATGATGGTCGTATTATAGTATCAGAGTATAGTCCTGACCTTGTTAGTATACTGAGTAAAGAAGGAAAGAAGTTAAAATCATTTGGTAAAGGAGTGAACGCTATTTCATTTTCTTATAATCATGGTATTGCCATCACTAAGGATGGTTCTATTTTAATTGCTGATTCTAACAATCACAGGATACAGAAGATAAGTATGAATGGTATTCCTGCTGCATCTTTTCCAATTGGCAGGTCAGGTACTGGAGTGTTGGAGTTCAAGTATCCAACTGGTATTGCTGTTTCACCTATAAAGAATCGTGTATACATTGCTGATAGTAAAAACCATCGTGTACAAGTTCTTAATTCTGACTTAACGTTTTGTCGTATATTTGGTAGAAGTGGAACAAGCAGTGGAGAATTTAATGCTCCCCTCGATATTGCTATTGACAGTGAAGGTTTAGTGTATGTCACTGATCAGTATAATCATCGTGTTCAAAAGTTCAATCCAGATGGAGTGTATATGTGTCAGTTTGGAAGTGAGGGTTCTGGCTCCGGACAGCTAAAGCAGCCAGCTGGTATTGCAGTGGATAATGCTGGCCTAGTGTATGTTACTGAATATGGTAATCATTGTGTCTCAATCTTCACTAGTGATGGTTCGTTTGTGCGTAGTTTTGGAGAATATGGCATCAATGAAGATCAATTTAAGAATCCATATGTTGGGATATGTTTTGACAGTGATGGATATTTGTATATTTGTGACTATTATAACAGCAGAATAGTTGTGTATTAGACTTTGTGAGACTCAACTTAGATTAGTAATAGTTTTAATTTACTGCATGTACGTGCTGCTAAATATTAATTTTTTTTGATTTAATGTAGTATCTATCTATCTATGCTACTCTACTGTTCATGTCAGTATAGTGCAAAGTGCTTGCCTAGTGATAACTTGTGGGTCTATATACTCTCATTACTCTGAAGGAGTGGTTGTGATAATCTGAAGGGCAAAATCAACTTTATTGTCTTTATCAAAGTCTGATCTAGACTATTGCAGTCATAATTTGATAAACCCGAATAGTAGGCTAATACCTGTTTTTGCTTCAACATGGCTACTGGTATTTACAGGTGTCTTTTATTGACCAAGTGCTTGAGTTTAGTTGTATCTGGTGAGTAGTATCATTGACTATTGACTCTCTTTAATTTGACTTTATATGTATTGTATTGTTAGTATCATTAGTTCAAACTGTTCCTCCCTATTCTGTTGTGTGCCCTGGAGATAAACTAGTGTTTTCTTGTACTGCTACTGCTGGCACTGATATGATGTTTTGGAGAGGACATTCTGGCAATATCTATCCTTTACAAAGGAATGATTATCCAGTAACAGTTGATGGTTTTAATGTTACAACTACACAAGTTAATGGATCATTAGTGATTAATGCTATTAATGATTCAGTGCCTTTAGAACTGAATGGAACAAATATTGGTTGTTCGGATGATGATTTAAGTTATACTCTAATGACTATTCATGTAGCAGGTATATGGAATGATGAAGTGTTATATATAATTATATACTCTTTACTTAGATGTTCCAGAAGCAGTTACTAATATAAAGATTGATCCAGTTAATAGCAATGGAATATTCATTAATTGGGCTGCTTCAGGATCATGTATACAGCATTATCATGTTATTATTTCTAGTAACAATTTAACAAACTATTCTCATACCAGGAACACTAATATAACAATTAATCATCTTACTATTGGTACTAATTATTCATTTATTATTTTTCCTATTGATACTGGTGGAAGAGGAGGACCTCCTTCATCATCAATACAGTATATATGGAATGGTAAGTACTACACACACACACACTCATTGTATTTCTTATAGTACCAGCTCAAGTTGTTAATATTAGTTGGTATCAGACATCAACTGATAGTATTACAATATGGTGGAATAACAGTGAAGTATGTGCTAATTTTAAATTATTTTACATTAAAATGATGCATAATAGGTCGATATCTCATATGTGAACTATCCTCCAGTTTATTACATCATAAATATAAAAGGTCCACCAAAAGTCAAATCTGTCGAAAATACAACTAGTACTAATATTACTATCACTGACCTACCTCTTACTGATACAAACTACACCATTACTATCATGCCTGTTAATGTTATTGGATATGGACCATCAGCTACTGTTAATGGTAGGATATATTTGTATAAAAATGCTTAAAATTATCTTTATATATATGCCATTATTTAGTTAGTAAGTTCCCAGTAAAGAACACTTTATTTAGTAGTACTCACATGATGTTGAGCACAATAGAATCAGATACAATGATGAGTAGTACTGCCACTATCACTGAGCAGGTCACAATGTGTGATGTAGTAGCAACGAGTTCAGCACTGACTGTCCTCTCAGTGATAACAGTAACAGCATCTTTTGCAACAACAAGAGGTAAAGCAAGTACTACCTGTATGCTGTGATGAATTCAGCATCTATAATGTTAATATTATTTATATGCATTATAGATCATGAACCATGTGTGACCAAAGCATTAAATTCACTGTCAACAGATGGAGAAACCATTAGTGGTCAGTACTATAATGAAATATTCATTATAATATATTTTTACTAATCAGTTGCTATTGGAGTGCCTATCATCACTGGTCTAATAACTGGAGTCATTTCTGCATTCATTACTAGCATCATTGTATACTGTATAATGAAAAGAAGGAGAATCAAGACAATGGAAGTAGCACAAGAAGGACCAGTATATGACATACCAATAGTCAGTGCTGAGCAGAAACCAAATCCAATTGGTACACATTTTAATGCTGCATATGGACAAGTAAACATTTGATTATTTTAAGAGAATTTTATTAATTTAATAAGCTGAAGGAAATGAATCATCAACTATATGCGTAATAATCCTGTCACAACTCTTGAAATTACTGAGTAGAAATTTACTGAAGTTCCTTTTACAATGACACTATTATTAATATTATTCATCTAGATCTAGTGTTAGAAACTTAGAAATTTAATTTTAGGGCGTGTGCTCATCTCTTCTCAAAACATCAAAACATGGCAACAGGGACAACGCCTACATTTGTCAAGCTACAGGATCAGTTAACTTGTCGAAAGTGCAACAATATCTACACTAACCCCAGGACACTCTCTTGCCACCATTCATTCTGTCAGGAGTATATTGAGGGATTAGCTACCATCCCTACCTTCTCTGTGGCCTGTCCTACCTGTCATCAACACACTGAGCTGCCCAATGATACTGGAGCTGCTGGTTTATCACTTGCTACCAATGTACAAGAATTTAAGAAGATCTACAATGAACTATCATCCGGTGAAGTAAAGTGTGACAACTGCACTAATGCCCATCCTGCTGTCTATTGTCAGGACTGCAATAGATATCTCTGCAATGAGTGCATTAGTATTCATAATAAATGGTCACTTTTTTCTAGGCATGCTGTAAGTACGTTAAGTGAATTACAGGCACCAGCATCACCACTCAATGGAGAGGTAGAGTTGCAGATTAGAAATGCACTTTCTGCTGCTGAGATAAGAGATCAGGGAGAGAGAGTGAAAAAGGAAATGATGGGATTCACCCAAACTCTTATGGCTGGTATTCAAGAGGAGCTTACAAGAAAGTTAGAAGAATTGGTACAGATGAGGCTGCAAAATCATAGAGAAGGTCGTGATACTTCATCTCATGATGATGAGATTCTGTTTATCAAAAGTAGCGAAACTGCAAGCATTGTTCAGCATGTTGGTAATGTCATGTCTCGTGTTGAATTAGCCCAATGTAAAGTGAAGGAGATAGCTACCATTAAACATATACCAGAAAACCAAGCAATTTCATTTCAACTCTCAATAGAATTACCAGGCTACCAAAGGTCTCTTTTGATTGTTCCTACCTCCTCTATTTCCATTGGCTTTACATCAGCCACTGCACAAGCTCAAGTTATTAAAGCTAGAGTGATCCCTACTGATAAACCAGGAGTGTACCAGGTTATATGTACTCCTGTTATTAGAGGACGTCATCAAGTTAACGTGAGAGTATCTGATGTTTCCCTTCAAGGCACTTCTTTGCTCATCCCTTTCAATCCTTATAGCTACCTGTTTAGTGTAACTCCAACCCGCACTATATATGATCTTGATCATCCAAGTGGAGTTGCTGTACACAATGATGGTCGTATTATAGTATCAGAGTATAGTCCTGGCCTTGTTAGTATACTGAGTAAAGAAGGAAAAAGGTTAGAATCACTTGGTAAAGGAGTCAATAATATTACGTTTTCTTATAACCATGGTGTTGTCACTAAGGGTGATTCTATTCTAGTTGCTGATTCTAACTATAATAGAATACAGAAGATAAGCAACAATGGCAGGCTTTCTTTTCCAATCGGCAAGTCAGGTACTGGAGTGCTGGAGTTCAAGTATCCAACTGGTATTGCTGTTTCACCTATAAAGAATTGTGTATACATTGCTGATAGCAAAAACAATCGTATACAAGTTCTTAATTCTGATTTAACATTTTGTCGTACATTCAGTAAAAGTGGAACAAGCAGTGGAGAATTTAATGCTCCTACTGATATTGCTATTGACAGTGAAGGTTCAGTGTATGTCACTGATCAGTATAATCATCGTGTTCAAAAGTTCAATCCGGATGGGGAGTTTATTTGTCAGTTTGGAAGTGAGGGCTCTGGCTTCGGACAGCTAAAGCAACCAGCAGGTATTGCAGTGGATAATGCTGGCCTAGTGTATGTTACTGACTATGGTAATCATCGTGTCTCAATCTTCACTAGTGAGGGATCGTTTGTTTGTAATTTTGGAGAGAAAGGAGTTAACGAAGATCAGTTTAATGGCCCATATGTTGGAATATGTTTTGACGGTGATGGCTACTTGTATATTTGTGACTATTATAACAACAGAATAGTTGTGTATTAGACTTTGTGAGACTCAACTTAGATTAGTAATAGTTTTAATTTGCTGAACATGCTGCTAGGTAATTACTTTTTGATTAAAAATATGCCACTTTACTATTCTTGTCATTGTCTGCATTCTTTGTGATAACTTGTGGGTTTATACTAGATCTATAGACTGGACTAGATGACTAGAGAAATCCTCTCAGAGTAATTTTGACAAGATACCCTTTACTATAGTACAGGGACTTTTGCTCAATTTATGCACATTAATAACAGTACATAAATTCCTTTAGATACTGTAATTGTAATTGTCATGGATACAACACAATTACATTTGAGATACTAGCACAAACTATTGGTCAGCCATCAGCCTCTAGATCATGCAGTGTTTAAATTTATTGGTACTGTTGTATAGGAGAGAATTGGGAATGACCACTGGTGAATCTAAAGGCAAAGTACTGAACAACTGTCCAAGCCAAGGATAGACTGTAGTTTTTACAATTAAAATTTTTGAAAAAATTGGTTTAGATCTAGTAGGGTGGGGCTCATGATAGGGTGGGGCTCATTATGAAAAACTAAACATCTTGTGAAATTTATAAAGAGCTTGTAAGAGCAGTCTCGCTATGGTTCTTCTCTCTCGCTTAATTGCTATGTTTCTACACATTTTTCTACTAATGGTAGGAGTTGTATTAAATGAAGCATCAGCACAGCAGGTATTTGCATAATAAAGACCATTCCAACCTTTATTTTGTACTCACCCCTGTCTTCAGTGTGGTCCACCTAATTTAGTGTCTGCTACTCCTCAATACAATGCAACAGCATCTACTGATCCACTTGTTATGAAGTAAGTAAGCTTTACTTGAAATTATATTATTTATTTTACTACTTTTACAAGTTGTGCGGGTGCTACTCTGCCTGCTATGTTCAAGTGGGAATTCAATGGTAACATTGTTCCTTCTGCCGTCGAATTGTAAGTTTTATACCTATACATACATGTATGTATAAACCATACATAGCCTATATGTGGTCCAGTCAGTGATGGAGGGCGAAGTTTATAGGTGTGGCTACGACAACATTAATTGTCCTGGTGGGACAATATGGTCTACTGGATCAATCACAGTTATAAGTAATTATTAAAAATTAATGTTGATTTGCATTATTGTCATTATATATTCAGCTCAACCTAATATATCAGTAAGCACTGGACCAGTTAGTGTGATGCAAGGAGATACAGTGACAGTCCATTGCAATGTCACTAGTGGCTATCCTGCTCCTTCAATCACTGTTAGTACATCATTAATTAATATTAATGATGAATTGACTTCCGGCATTGTGTATTGTAAATTTGTTTTCTTTCAGTGGTACAATGGTTCTGGTGATAGTTTGGGGCATGTCTCACCATTGACAGTGACAACTGGATCTAATGATACTCTAACTTGCATAGCAACCAATACAGCTGGTTATACTGTAGGGAGTATTGCAATCACAGTCACTAGTAAGTTGTATGCTTTTAGCATATAGGTTGGGATTTTTTCTTTATCAGGTTTATTTGAGTCTTCAACTATTGCTTCTATGTCTCCATCAACTGCAGTCATTAGCTCCAGTATTGCAACAAGCAGCAGCAGTCTGATCACAAATATACAGTTAGTACCATACCTGCTATCATACTACTGTTATTGGTATTATATCAATATTTATATACTGTATTGTATCAATATTAATATTTATTTTTCAGCACAGGAAGTTTTTCAAATACAACAGTAGTGTCATCAGCAACAAGCACTTTGGTTTACAGCTCAAGTTGTAAGTTACAGTGAATACAGTAAATACAGTATGCTCAATAATGCTAGTAATATTATCATCATTATTTGCACCAACAATAGTTTACAACACTATTCGTAAGTTATGATAAACACACATTTATTCAACATTTCCTCAATAATCATCATTGCTAGCAATGACAGCAATTCATAAAACAAGCACTTCTGTTTGTAGCACTAATTGTGAGTTATGATGAACACAAATTTTACATACATGCATGTTGAGAAACCAATCATTTACTATTATTTTAAATTAGAAAATTAATTTTTCCTGAGACATAATTATCATTATGTATTGTAGGCTATGTTTCATACACTACCACAACAGCTACACAACCATCAGATGACAAAACCATACTTATTGGTCAGTTAATAATGATAGCATTACTGTTACATCATTCTCCTCTAGTTGCTATTCCAGTAGCTGTCATCATTTGTCTAATAGCTGGAGTCAGTACTGCAATAATTACTGGCATCATAGTTTACTGTATAATGAAAAGAAGGAGAATTAAGACCATGGAAGTAACACAAGAAGGACCAATATATGATATACCAATGGTTAATACTGAAGAGAGACCAGGGCCAATTGATACATATTTTAATGCTGCGTATGGACAAATAAGCACTTAATTTTCATTTTAAAAATTTTTATTATTAATTGTAAGAGGAATCAGTTTCAAATATATGCAACATAACTACTTCTCCAAGTAATTTTTAACAAAATACCCTGTACTATAGTACAGGGACTTTGCTAAAAAATAAAATTTAATTCCTTATAAATAAAATGCATCAGTTGACAATAGTTTAAGGCAGCTGCCTTTTTTGATTGGAGCCAGTTCACATAGCATTAATTTATGTACATTAATAACAGTACTGCATTAAAATTGTAAAAGATATCAATAGTAAACATACAAAATGACAGTGATTCATATTTATTACAAAATTAGCATAACATGGTATTATAGTGTAGATTAGAAGTGGAGGGACCATCATAATAATAGTGAGTTTACAGCCAAGTATAGTGATGTGATTAATAATGATAGTAATAATAATAATAAGTATAATAATAATAGTAATAATGATGCATTTATAATACATATAATAATTAAAAGGTTATAACATTTTATGATTGAGAGCATGTTTGACAGCAATAGACTGTCATAAAGTATAAGTTACAGCCATGCGCTATTTTCATTTCGTTACAGTCATAGCCAGTGAAATCTTTACAGTCTATGGAAAAAAATCATAAAAATAAATAATGTGTTAGAACCTCCAATAAAAATAAAATTCACATTAAGCCCAACAACTTTTAATAGCATACACTAGACACTGCAGTACAATTGATGTGCTGAGCTTACTTGTGTTGCAAGATGATGAATTACAGGATGTAGTCTCTGATGGTTTCTTTGACTCATCACAGCCAGTAGCAGGCTGACCTGTTGCTCCATTGATACACTGAACTGTCCTTTGCTTTGTACCACCACCACATGTGACTGAACACTATAAAAGAGAATTGTGAAATTCTATTTATTAAAGTATTTATAGTAACATACTTCACTCCAGCTTCCTTCATTCCAGTATATGCAGCCAGACTTGTTACAGGGACGATTATGAGCTGGTTTTAAGGATTCATTGCAAGCTCCATCTGATACTGTAATGATACGGTTACTTACAGTTGCCTGACATGCAACTTTTCGTGTTTGATATGATGATCCACAAGAACCTTGACACTATTAAAAAAATTAAAATATCAGTCTTTATTTTTTCATTCATAATCTCTCTCACTATATATTATAGCATGTATCTATATTCTTACTTCTTCCCATGGCGATGCATACCATTGTTTCTTGCAGGTCTGCACATCAAAGCATGTCTTGCTACCGATCGGTTTAGTAGAGGATAGACACAGTGACTCGTTCACTCTCTCAGAATGTTGATTACTGCAATAGACCAATCTACTCTGAGTGCCATTCCCACAAGATGTACTACACTAATGGCAAAAATACAAAAATAAATCTAGGCAATAATAAAAGTAGTAATAACACTTCCAAGTTGCATGTGTTTTAAGTGACTTACAGAGCTCCATGATTCATTCCTCCAAGTATAATGACACGGCCCATTATTGCAAGGCTGGACTGATGGAGGCTTCAACTGAAAGCAGCTAATTGGGTTCAGCTCCACTCCTCTGTAATCAACACAAGTGACAGTTCTATTCTGACTTCCACCATCCCCACAGCTATGACTGCAAGGTCTCCAAGGACTTGTGGTCCATATTCCACATGCATAAGTATTGCAGGGTCTTTCTGCGACTGGTTTCTCACCAGTTCCTTCACAATCGCTCTCTCTTTTTACAATCTCGTTGCCATTTTGATCTTTTTGAATGCACTGGACAGTTCGTCTTTGAATTCCTCCACCACATATTGCAGGACATATTCCCCAATCATTAGCTTTCCATCTGCATGTATATGTACAAGTAAGTAAATATTTATTTTATGTACTCATTGCTAGGAGTGTTAACATCAAAGCATTTTAGTGTAGAAAAAAGAATTTAAGAGATGTAAGCTAAGCTAAGTTCAGGTGTCAAGGTGTGAAATTTGAAACTCGAGTAAAGTGTATCTCAAGTGAGTGCAATTGCTATTTACTACCAAATATGTATATTAATAACAGACTTCCTTATATGGTATGCATAGATCTGCTAATTACTACACGTTAAATTCTTACCTTGGGGGGCATAGGGGTCTGATACACTTTCTGACAATAGGGAACGGTTTTGGAGAGTTTGAAGAGCAGAATAAGTCGGGGAGGGTTTTATCAGGAAACTCGCTATCTCTACAGTGGACATGAGCTACTTCCAGACCTATAGATATGATATCAATATCATAATATCTCATATTCAAAGTATAATGCTAATGATGCATAGCATTAATAAATCACTTCATTGCTATGAAGCTATAGGTTGATCATTGTTGATACTATAACTGGCTTCTATTTACCTGTACCACATGTCAGAGAACAAGGACCAAATTCATCATACTTCCAGTCAACAGTCTCATTCCCATTCTCAGTGAGTCTCTCCTCACCATCCACTAGTTTATAATACTCTATACTCTGCTCTGATGTCTGGTTACTTCCACCATTCTCCACCTGAAGGAACAAAAGAAGTGATAGACCAAAAAGAACAATCATATCTTCTTCCTTTCTCTGCCTCTTGCTTCTCAGCCTTCCTCACTACTGATTGGTCAGTAGGAGTGGAGTTTGTTTATGTGGAAGCAAGTTAGCGTAGGACAATCACTGCATGCCTTGGAGTCATTGGTCCAAGTAATGATAACTCATTTGTAGATGCTACTCTTCTGGCATGTGAAGAGGAGTAGTTATTGTAAACTAAAGGTTGTACTCTTCATTATTCTGCACTTCCTTCTCATTCTTAATGCATTAGGTTATAAATTACAGCAATTGTTATTCAATAACAGCTGCAGGATAATTTGGTATTCAATGCATTTAGATGTACATTGCAATACATGCATTGTGGTAGCTTCTTCATAGTAATAATAATAATAATAATAATAATGATGATGATGATAATGATAATAATATAAATACTTTTAATTTATAAGTGCCAGCTGTAATAACGAACAAGGAATGACAAGACGTCATTAGCCATTTGTTATTGAATATATAACATTGACATGCATTTTACACTCAATTAAAATTATTTCTCAGAATTTGCAAGCAGTATCATTGCGTTTATGTAATTTTAATTCATAGTAAATTTATTTAATATAATTCTACCTCAACTCTTATTCCTTTCAGTAGTGGCCCCCGTGCAACAAACACCGAAGAGTTTGGTAGTAAATGAAAGGCGGTCCCACCTATTGTGAATGGCTGTGTGTCCTTATTTAGTATCACACGATCCGATGACTTCGTTTGAAGTACTAGAAATGGAAAACAGTGATACCATAGAATGCTATTGTGAAAAGGACTCCACTACTCCCTGCTATTAGGGAGTGTCCTTAAAGTCATGGCAACAGAATTCTTCACATGATTATATGTTTACCAAGCAGGTGTGCTGCAAATTTTGTCTAGCAATTTATCAACGGACATGTTTCTAATTCTGTCTCTTATTGATGAAAGAGCTAGACAGACTTTTTGACCCATGAGCACACATGTAGACCTACATGTATGAAGAGTTTATTTGTTTACCTACACTACATGATGAACATGTAATCCTGATTGAAGTAGCTCCCACAGGAATTTCCCCAGTTAGGTGAGAATTACTGTTACCTAATATAGAGACAATATTACATAATGTGACATGAGACATTCTCACTCACCACTTTCAAAGAATTTGGTACATTTTCTTGAGGATTGAGATGGCTTATAAGGAGGACAGTGTAAACAACGTGACACAACATCTTTAGCTCCAAGAACACTATTGCAACTGAGGGGCTGCAAGTGTGAGAGAGTGAGAAATCAAATTATGTTATGTAGCTACGAATGGACGTATTAGACTCAAATTGGATTAATTAATGACAATTAAACCGTAATCAAAGAATTTAGAATGTTTGCATATTTCTGTTATTAGATTGTAGCTGCATTGAATAGGCGAGTAATCCAATTTTCAATCTTATGCCATGCATGTACATGTACAGACTTACTGCACAAAATTCCCCCAAACAAATTCCAACACTTCCATCATCTCTATCACAACTGGCACCATCCATATTGTCCTTGACATACATCCTGTATAAACCCGAGGAGCACTGGGCCCCACTACATACTCTGTTACCTGCAAAGGTGAAACAGCACGGTTTATATGGTGCACTACAACAGCTGCAGAGAAAGAGTGCTTTTGATCTGTGATGAGCATTTGCTTATTGTTTGTCATAAGTAATGATTCTTTTATGCTTACCAAAGAATGAAAAACTTAGCAAATGTGTATGTGTGTGAGGAATGTTGCATTATCATAGCTCACTACCACTTATGCAATTATAATAAACTTGGAACCAATAAATACATGAGTAAAGTCATCCAGTTATTTTAGGGACAATGAGATAGTGCTGTGTATTTTAGCACATAAGATAGATGCATGTGATATTGACATTAACAATAATGTAAAAATGGATAGCACATTTGTAAGATGAAACAAATTAAATCAGTATCTCATTACACTTGCATTTAGTGGCTTACCAGAGCCTCTGTAGGCCTTCCATAATAGAAAATTTGAATCAATCCTATATTTGTTATCAAGCTTAGAGCAAATTTTGTCCCTGAAGATAAAATTTTTCTTAGTTGTAGAGCATTCCTGCACGTAGGTAATGAATTCAATTAATGACTGTTTATCCTTGAGTTGGCATACCTTGACTATGCAAGTTTTAAATTCCACAGAGTGTCCTGTACAATTATTCTCAGTTCTATAGGCAGCACAAGATAGTCGGTTTATTTATATTATGCGAGTGAGTGTAATGGTTTAATGGCATACTTACAAACATTCTCTTCTCTTTGATGTAATCCCTCTGTTACATGTGCTTGAGCAATTACTCCAATCGCTCCAATCGCTCCATTGGCTGCCGTCCTGTCCATGAAAACAAAGTGAACCAGGACCACAGTGAATTCAATACAATCACTTACTGTATGAGTAGCAGACAGTAGTAGCAATAGTACTAGAACAGCCGTTTGACCTGCAGCTAGTCCTGTTGGGGCTAACCTATAGCAGCATATAATGCAGTAATGAGAGGACTCCCATGAATGGGGTGACAGTCACCTTCTGAATGATGTGCCAAAGACCATACTTGAGACAATACACACTTTGAGGGTTGCAACTTGATAGCTTGCAGTTTGAGCTAGGCCTCAATCTGCAATGATTTAGTCTATCTTGACTGCTGTGTAGGTTAGGTTAGTAGGAGCAAGGCCTAGAACTGAGCTTCAATACAACAGACTCTTCTTTTTTTCTAATTTTAGAACTGCTAATAGCTAGAGGCTGCATGAGAACATTTTTATACAGTAACACTAAAGGAGTAGAAGCCATTGAAAGAAGACCACTTAAATTAATTAGCGGTTGTCATGGCTACCGGGTCAAATACATTACAAATAAAAATGGAGGACGTTACAATTGATGCAACAAAAAAGCTAAATATACCAGTCAAGTACCCAAACTACGCCGAGAAGCACCACATATTTGATCTCTTCCAAGTAAGCTATACCTGGTTTAATTTGTATGATATTTAATCTCTTGTAGCACATGCTTCAGGAGCTTTTATTGCACAGACCAAATGACCCAATATCTTTCCTTCAGGATCTTCTAAGGCGTCCCACAGACGGTATACTGGGTTTATTGTTTTGTGTTTAACTTTTCTTTGTAGTCCCTGGTATAGTTATATACGGTCCTCCAGCATCTGGTCAGAACACACTGGTAATAAGGCTAGTCTAATTGATAATAATTGGTTTTTGTTTCCACATGAGGGAGTGCTACTCCATAGATAATGATATTTACTGTTTGCAAAGACATAACATACCTCAAGTGTTGAGTAAATAATAGTAAAACGTCTACAAAACATTAGGAACAGCTTTATGAACCTGCTTTGTCTATCTGTCTGGGTATTTGCCACACCCAGTGACACTGTTTTATATGATTTTCATGACATCCCTTTGACCTTATAACCTCTATATAATGGACACTCTCTATAGCGTACACCTCCATTTAACGGACAGCACCTAGTGTACCAATTACATTTCTTACTGTATAAAATAACCTCCACATAAAGGACACCTCTGTATAACAGAGACACTTTCAAAGTGTCCATTATATAGAGGCTAGTCTGTGCATATAATTATTTATAAGTATTTATTTTCTTCTAGTCCAAACTCATCGCAAGGAAGCTAAGACTCGTTCATATAAAGCCGACCATTTTATTGGAAGAAAATGAAAATGGAGGCAGTGACAAACAGGAACTAATTGAGGTAGAGAGAGCTGGGTAGGGGGGGAGAGAGAGCTGGGTAGGGGGGAGAGAGAGGGGGGGGTAAGGGAGAGAATGTAGAAAATCTATAGTCGGAGTATACTTCAAATGGGTAATCAAGTCATATTAATTAAGATAAATTAATTGACACAAATTGCTTACACACTACATCTTGTCTTCACACATTTTGATATTATTATATACCTACTACTATAGGATGCCTTACCTGATAAGCTAGCGTCACTAATCTACGAACGCCTTCAAAGAGCAGACAGTAAAGCTAAAGTAAGGACGATACTAAGAATCGTGTACCCATACCTGTAAATTAACTTTAACTGAGTCTCTTTGCTGTACTATACTAGGGCTGGATCATGGAGGGTTACCCACGGACAAGAGAACAAGTAATGGAATTAGTGCCATACATTATACCTTCACCTTATTGATACAACACACTCCTCTCTCCCTCTCTCTCTCACTCCCCCCTCTCTCTCTCTCTCTCACTCCCCCCCCTCTCTCTCTCTCTCACTCCCCCCCTCTCTCTCTCTCTCTCACTCCCCCCCTCTCTCTCTCTCTCTCACTCCCCCCTCTCTCTCTCTCTCTCTCACTCCCTCTCTCTCTCTCTCTCTCTCTCTTTCTCTCCCTTCAGGCTTTGGCTCTTCAGGGTCGTGGTATTTTAGTCAAGCACTTTGGTAAGTGACATGTGTGTCTATAAACCAGAGGTTATTTTATACAGTAAGGAATGTAATTGGTACACTAGGTGCTGTCCATTAAATGGAGGTGTACGCTATAGAGAGTGTCCATTAAGAGAAACTATAAGTTGATTTACCATACTCCATTGGAGTGACAATTAGTGAGATGTAATAATCAGAAGTAATTCTTGCTTTTTATGGTCATTGAAATGACTCATGATACACTGTCTGCGTGCATACTTGTACGTTACATACAGTTGTATATAGCTCGATGCTATTAGTAACAGGAGTCTTGAGTCTGAAGAGAGAAAGAAATACATCGACTCAAGAGATTAAAGTAAATTCAATTAGGGCCGATACACCCTCTACCCCCCATCCCCATATTTAGCTTCTTTTATTACAAAGATAAGAGTATTGGAGGTATCACCTTTATTTTGAGGCGGTTGCTATGATACTATATTACCACTGGGCTACTCCTACTACTACTAGCACACGACAATTAATTACAGCAGACCATTGGGTCCTGCTACTGTTTCTGTGGTTCTACGCTTTAGTACTTTCTTACATTAGACAGATGTTTTTTTAACGCCAGTCACTAATTATCATACGGTGGTTGAATCCAGAGCAGCTGCACAAATTAAAGTCTCGTTTATTGAATGATCCGATTGGCAGTGGCTTACCAATGAATATTGTTCATTTTATTATTTAATTTATGTGAAATTATTATTTGATTGTGTTTCATAGTGTTATGACTTCCTTCTCACATTATTAGTCTGATTTTGGTTTGAGGATAAGTTGAAGGTCTTCATATTGTAATAATTACTTCACTCCTTTCTGCTTCTTTTGCACCAGTATAGCCTCTCTTAATGGACACTCTCTATAGCGTACACCTCCATTTAACGGACAGCACCTAGTGTACCAATTACATTCCTTACTGTATAAAAAACCTCCCCTCTACAGGCTAGACGGTACATGTACATGTATTTTGTCCACTGCCCAATGTGTGGACACAGTCTTTCACAATGTTTACCTACAAATAATCATTATATCATTAGGGTAATTGGCACATGTGCATGTGTCACATTAATATGTACATTATACATGTGTTTTATTATTAGTATTATTGTTGTTGTTGTTGTTGTTATTATTATTGCAGTGCTCCTTGAAGGACCTGACCCTGTACTAATAGAGAGGTATGCTGGTAAAAGGGTTGACTCAGTCACAGGAGGTAAGTACAGTATATGTATCATCTAAATCCATGTACATTATATCTGTTATACTGTCTGTTCATGCATTACTTAGATACTGTGCATTAACATGTACTTAAGACTGTCTTAGTCTTTTAAAAGCTTTCTTGCATCCTTTAATTACACGTACACGTATGTTTATCTTTTTATAAACATCCTTTCTTTATTCTTTCATTCAATGGCCACTCTCATACATGTACATGTGAAAAGATGTCTACCATGTTATATTCAGTCCTCCTGATGATCCTCGTGTTGCTGAACGACTCGTTGAAGAGAAGGGCGGAGTCCAGTTCCACATGCATTCTAAACTAGAAGCGTATCACCGTCATTCTGAACAAATGTTAAAGTGTTATGCTGACGTTACTAAGAGATTCTGCTGCGATCAACCAATACAAGACCTGCTAGTAGCAGGTATTGGCTTTATAATGGATACTCTCTATAGCATACACCTCCATTTAACAGACAGCACCTAGTGTACCAATTACATTCCTTACTGTATAAAATAACCTCCACATAAAGGACACCTCTGTATAACAGAGACACAGTGTCCATTATATAGAGGCTAGTCTGTAGTATTGATCAGCAATTGTTTTGTCTTATTTAAGCCACCTGTGTTATTATTTTCAATCCTTAATTCTTAATCCAGCACAGTATAAGGATATAAATTGATTCTATTAATATCCTTAGACCCCTAATTACTGTTATTGTTATTGTCCTTACATTAAACCTTGTACTAAAGGCACACAAACAAACCACTCCAAAAGGCACTCAATATCAGCCCCTGGAGCAAAACATGTCCCAAAGCATTATTATTATTAGACACTCTTACACAACCAACTCTCCATGCACATATGTGTATGTAGCAATGGTCATTAGGCTTCTTAGTGATCTGTTAAAACCATAATCACTTCAATAAAGAGCCACTTACCAATAGTACACCTTAATATCTCAATTAGTGCATGTACATGTACACACATGGTGATATCATCATTATTAGCAAGTAATTGTCCACCAGGCGGTGGTTGGGATGCAATAATGTTGTTTATATACAGGGCATGTAGGCTAATCTCTTTCCATGGTGACATGTTCACTCCTACCACTATAATTATGATAGCCAATCACTGTTGAAGCCTAACGGCTCATGACAACATCATATGACAATACAATGTCCATATAGTGTCCGTGTATATGTACTGTGTATAGCAGAGACAGCTGCATAGCCTGAGAACATAATTAATGTTTTGTGAGGTCTACGTCTGTCTCTATGTCCCATCGTCTCAGGCTATTATTATTATATTGTCTCTTTTTAAATGGATACACACACAAGAGGTCTGTGTATGTCTTTATGTCTGTCTGTCCATTAATCTGTGTGTGTATGTGTCTGGCATAGAGGGAGAGGTGTTTAAATAGTTTGTCTAACTACCTGTGAAGATTTGCTTAACTTCCCTCAATTGCCTTCTTTTATAAGCTGGAATTGGTATTTCCTCCTTCAGGTATCATTAACTGTACATATACTTGTACTTGTACTCCAAGAATGTATCCTAATAATACATTGTACATTGTAATTGCATGTTTTTTACTTTAATAAATTAGTTATCCTTTATGTGGAGGTTATTTTATACAGTAAGGAATGTAATTGGTACACTAGGTGCTGTCCGTTAAATGGAAGTGTACGCTATAGAGAGTGTCCATTAAGAGAGGCTATTGCTTCCATTATTGTTATCATGATTCCTCCAGTTAGTTTGTTCCTTGACACGAGAGAGAGGACCATGTCCCCCCACATCCCTCGTGTTGTGTTGCTAGGACCCACAGGATCAGGGAAGAGTCTTCAAGCCGCTCAACTAGCCGAGAAATACAGAATAGTCAACGGTATGTGTGTACATGTACATGTATTGGTATGATGCACATTACAAGGGAGGAAAGTTTTAGTAAAGTATTGTTAAATTTTAGTTGATTGTTCAGCTTTAAAATGCTGGATTTTTGTGCTTGAATGTTCTCAAATTTGAAGGTTTTTCTGACTTACCGAAGCATTAAATTTTAACCGAAATGTTTCCCTTTGAATTACCAGCTGCATGTATAGTATATGTTAATGTATAATATAGTCCATAGTCCAGTGATACTGTAATAGGACTCAGTCATTCATTGTATATAGATACCAGCTTTGTTTGTTGTGTCGTAATATAATGTTGTGTCTTTATCTTATTACGTGTTTGTTTGTACATGTACTTATTAGAAATAAAACATTATTATTATTATTATTATTATTATTATTATTATTATTATTATTATTATTATTATTATTATTATTATTATTATTATTATTATTATTATTATTATTATTATTATTATTATTATTATTATTATTATTATTATTATTATTATTATTATTATTATTATTATTATTATTATTATTATTACTATCATACGTTACTTCTTTATCATTGTTACTTTTCCTAGTTGATTGTAGTCACTTATTAAAGCAAGTCTTAGCATCAGGGTCCACCCTAGGACAACAAATGAAACCATTTCATGACAAGCACATGCCAAGTACGTCCAGCAACAATAATAATGCCATGAATGTGTTTAGTATTGATGATTTAGCCTCTACTGTTGCATGTACAGTACGTGACTTGAAAAAACAAATTACACCCACATAGTGACAGATTGACCTACAATGTTGCAGGCTGTGTTCCTGACCACATGACCATTAGAATCACTATACTCTATGATACTACACAAGGAGACTATACTGTACATGTACATGTACATTTACCAGTACATGGGGCAGTATGTATGTGTACTTAGGGTGACCACGATAAGTTGAGAAAACAACTTTAGTTGTCTCATCTCTGATCTTATCCTGTTGTTATGCTTCCTCCACTCACTAATGGCTGGTTGCTATGGCTGGTTGCTAAGAGACGTTGTTGACAGCTTTAGGGGTGTATTACCCTGAGAGTGGTGGCTAATCTCTTTAGAGGGTTTGGTAAACCTTACCAGTGCCTCCGTTACGAAGGATGTTGCTAGGAGTAGCTGTCTTTGCTATTGTTGAATCTACTAACACAATTAGACTGTTATTTCTAGCATAATATACTGTACGCACTATAATGCCTACTAGTAGGTTTTATTAGTACAGGCTAGCCTCTGTATAACAGAGACACTGTCAAAGTGTCCATTATATAGAGGCTAGCCTGTACTAATAAAACCTACTAGTAGGCATTATAGTGCGTACAGTATATTATGCTAGAAATAACAGTCTAATTGTGTTAGTAGATTCAACAATAGCAAAGACAGCTACTCCTAGCAACATCCTTCGTAACGGAGGCACTGGTAAGGTTTACCAAACCCTCTAAAGAGATTAGCCACCACTCTCAGGGTAATACACCCCTAAAGCTGTCAACAACGTCTCTTAGCAACCAGCCATAGCAACCAGCCATTAGTGAGTGGAGGAAGCATAACAACAGGATAAGATCAGAGATGAGACAACTAAAGTTGTTTTCTCAACTTATCGTGGTCACCCTAAGTACACATACATACTGCCCCATGTACTGGTAAATGTACATGTACATGTACAGTATAGTCTCTCCTTGTGTAGTATCATAGAGTATAGTGATTCTAATGGTCATGTGGTCAGGAACACAGCCTGCAACATTGTAGGTCAATCTGTCACTATGTGGGTGTAATTTGTTTTTTCAAGTCACGTACTGTACATGCAACAGTAGAGGCTAAATCATCAATACTAAACACATTCATGGCATTATTATTGTTGCTGGACGTACTTGGCATGTGCTTGTCATGAAATGGTTTCATTTGTTGTCCTAGGGTGGACCCTGATGCTAAGATTTGCTTTAATAAGTGACTACAATCAACTAGGAAAAGTAACAATGATAAAGAAGTAACGTATGATAGTAATAATAATAATAATAATAATAATAATAATAATAATAATAATAATAATAATAATAATAATAATAATAATAATAATGTTTTATTTCTAATAAGTACATGTACAAACAAACACGTAATAAGATAAAGACACAACATTATATTACGACACAACAAACAAAGCTGGTATCTACATACAATGAATGACTGAGTCCTATTACAGTATCACTGGACTATGGACTATATTATACATTAACATATACTATACATGCAGCTGGTAATTCAAAGGGAAACATTTCGGTTAAAATTTAATGCTTCGGTAAGTCAGAAAAACCTTCAAATTTGAG